TTTTTAATATATTTTCATTGGTTTCAGAGAGGAAAGGAGAGGGAGAGAGAGACAGAAACATCAATGATGAGAGAGAATCATTGATTGGCTGTCTACTGCACACCTCCTACTGGGGAATCCAGCCTGCAATCCGGGCATGTGCCCTTGACTGGAATTGAACCTGGGACCCTTCAGTCCGCAGGCCGACACTCTATCCGCTGAGCCAAACCGGCTAGGGCTAATATTTGAATTTTAAAAAAAATATATTTATATTGATTTCAGAGAGGAAGGGAAAGGGAGAGAGAGAGAGAGAAACATCAATGATGAGAGAGAATAATAGATTGGCTGCCTCCTGCACACCCCCTACTGGGGACTGACCCTGCAACTCTGCATGTGCCCTTGACCAGAATTGAACCTGGTGCCCTTCAGTCTGCTGGCTGGTCTGTCCACTGAGCCAAACCGGCGAGGGCTTAATTCTTTATTGTAAGATTCTCCATATGAAGTGACTTAGTGTGGGGCACCCAACAAATGTTGAGTAGATGTGACCATGGCAGGGAGTGGGGTAACTTTCCTGGTTTTGAAAGCCTTGGATTCTAGCAAGACTCGTTTCTCGTTTTAGTAGTAAGTACAAGTACTAGTAGCTTTTTGCCTCTTCGTTCTAGTTGGGGATTAATGCAGTGGGCAAATTTGTCATTACGTTTAGATGGTTAAATCCTTGGAAAGTCAGGTTCGAAATGAAAAGGCTAGTTTATTGCTGAAGTCGAAGTGCCACATTTTCAGGAAGTCCGAGAAATAACGTCTAGTTTACTGGGAGCTGTTCTCCTGTGAATTGAAAATATTTGTGCTGTAGTTAAGTTTTGGAGGGTTTTCAACTGTGCGGGGGGTCAGTGCCCTTAGCCCCCCCTGCATTGTTCAAGGGGCAGCTGTAATTTCCTTCGCAGAGTCGGCTGATGCATGATAGGTTTCCCACAGTGTGAAGTCTGTTCCATGTTTTGGTTTGGGAGGTCTCAGCCTGGGTAGAACATTGCCTGCCCATTTGCAAAGGCAAATTTCGTGGAACATGATACCTTTATCCCGTGTCTACCAATGGCTGTTTTCAGCTGAATTTCAGAGTGTTACATCAATAAGAGTGTTGATTTTTGTAGGCATCTTTGGTTCTGTCTTTTCTTCTCTCTTGTGCTCGTTGAGGTCAGCATGAGTCTCAGCCACCCTGTTAGTCCTAGTGCCACGATACTGACGTAAGCGTACCTTCCACCCTGGCTGTGGGGAAGGCCCGTGAAATTCTGGTTGTTCTTTTCCTGCGGGGAACTTAAATGTGTCTCACTGAGTGAGAATTATATTCACTTATATACTTGAACCTTCTGAAACATTTTCTAGAAATGGTGCCTTTTGCAGTACTGAGTTTGAAGATTAAAGCCATAGGCATCTGCTATTTTGTTTATTGGGTGAAGAGTTGTCAGTAACATTACTCTGGTGAATGCAATATTTTTAAAAAGTGTCTAGTTATGAACATGCTTTTAAGAATTTGCTATTACATTTTATGAATTGTTTTCAGTATTATTTTAAGGCCTCCTGTTCCCAGACATAGCTACAAATTGCAGTTTGTGTATTCTAATTCTTTTACTAAATTCTTTTAGTAGCTTAACAGATATATAGTGAAAAGCAAATTTCACAAATTTTCTCCATTTCTTGCTCAATTTTATGATGACAAATATTTTTGCATATATTTTAATAGGTACATTTTGTACAGGCCCTGGTACAGATTTTTCTGTTACCATAATTTGGTATTATGTCAGCGATATAGGTAGAACAAGTTGATTTGTAAATTTATAGCCTTGGAGTTAAATTGCACTGACTCTAGACTTTAATTTACACTTTTTTCTCTTCAAGATTCATATAAATTATGGAAACTCTTGTTTGAAGTACATCCAGACCACATTTTTAGAAACTGAAGGCTGAGGGTTTGTTCGTTCCAGCTGTCTAGTCCAGTGCAGATGGTTTTCAGTTGCATTCAGGCACGAAGAAATGTACACACTGCTTTTTATGTTCTGTAACATCCTTTGTCACGCTTCCTTCCTTTCTAGTTGTGTGTGTTTATTCTCTTATGACTAGTAAAATTATACTGTGTGTCCTGGAGTGGAGACTTCCCCCATTTTTCTAGGACTGCACAACTAAAATGGAGGGACATTAAAAAACGAAACCAGCGTCGACAATCCTGCAGTTTAATATGAATGCTAGGGAGTAGCTATGCCTTCGGTAGGCAGGAGTTGCATCACCCAACAAATACTGAGTGTCTGTCAATTGCCAGAGTCCGTGGTAGGTTCTGGCAATATAAGCGAAGCACAAGACAGTCATGGTACCTGCCCTCATGGAACTGATACTGTAGCTGGGAATGTAGTAAATAATTTCAAGTTGTAAGGGAGGAACAGGGTGCTATGGGAGTTTATGGAATGCAGTGGGGCAGTGGTGATGGTGATTGTCGGGGGTGTGTGTGTGTGTGTGAACAGTTTTCCCAGCAGAGAATCTATGTTGAATCAGAGAGCCTTCTGGAAACTGAAAGAAGGGTGGTATGGCTGGAGTGGAGGATTCAAGGCGGGAAGACTTTGGAAGTCACAGCAGTGGAGTTTGGGAGAGCTTTAGGGCAGGCTGAGGATTTTGGACTTTATCCCCAAAGCAAGGAAACCTGGGAAGCAGGAGGAGAGAGAGGACTTTGCATCATCATCCTGATGACTTTGTTTCTCAAAAAAGAAAGAGCAGTCTTTCAATTTGCATAGGACTCCCTCCCAACCTCAAACCTCCCATTCAAGATTCAAGATTAGTTTGGAGGCTACTGGAAGTTCCAGCGAACTAGAATAGTTCCAATGGGTAGAGAAAAACGGCCGATTGGAGATACACTTGGGAGGCAGAATGGAAGATTTGGTTATAGATTAGATGTGGGGGGATAAGGGAGAGGAATGAGTCAGGGTAGTAACAGTGAGTGAGTCCCAGGCACTATTACATGTATCAAATCTTTAGATTCTCACAATAACCCCACCAGGTAGATATTACTGCCAGTGTTTTATAGATGAAGAAGCAGACTCATGGTCTCCCTGGTTTTTGCCCTGAGGTGCTGGGTGTATGGAGGTGTCTCATAACTGAGTTAGAAAACTGGGGTGGGATGGAGGCTCCTTAGTTTAATTTTGGACATGTTGAATTTGAGGTGTCTGTAAGTTAATCCAAGTTGCAGTGTAGAGTGGTTAGGTTATTTAGAAATGAGAATTTGGGGGCCTTGGATGGGTAGCTCAGTTGGTTTGTCCTTCTATAACAAAAAAGGGTTTATCCTTCTATAAAGGGAAACATATTTTGGAAAATGTAGCAAATAAAACCCAGCCAGATATGTTTCCTGGTGGCTTTTCTAAGCGAGAAGTTGTGAACTGAGGGTCTGACTCTTCCTCTCTCCGCGCAGGTATGGCATCACAGCTGCAGTTTTCCCCCCCATCAGTGTCGTCGAGTGCCTTCTGCAGTGCGAAGAAACTGAAAATAGAGCCCTCCGGCTGGGATGTTTCTGGACAGAGCAACAACGACAAATACTATTCCCACAGCAAAACCCTCCCCGCCACACAAGGGCAAGCCAGCTCCTCTCACCAGGTAGCAAACTTCAACATCCCTGCCTATGACCAGGGCCTTCTCCTCCCAGCCCCGGCCGTGGAGCACATCGTTGTAACAGCGGCTGACAGCTCAGCCAGCGCTGCTCCGTCCACCTTCCAAAGCAGCCAGACCCTGACGCACAGGAGCAACGTTTCTTTGCTTGAGCCGTATCAAAAATGTGGACTGAAAAGAAAAAGTGAGGAGGTCGACAGCAACGGTAGCGTGCAGATCATAGAAGAACACCCCCCTCTCATGCTGCAAAACAGGACTGTGGTGGGTGCTGCTGCCACGACCACCACTGTGACCACGAAGAGTAGCAGTTCCAGCGGAGAAGGGGATTACCAGCTGGTCCAGCATGAGATCCTTTGCTCGATGACCAACAGCTACGAAGTCCTGGAGTTCCTCGGCCGGGGAACGTTTGGACAGGTGGCGAAGTGCTGGAAGCGGAGCACCAAGGAAATTGTGGCCATTAAGATCTTGAAGAACCACCCCTCCTATGCCAGACAGGGACAGATCGAAGTGAGCATCCTTTCCCGCCTCAGCAGTGAAAATGCTGATGAGTATAATTTTGTCCGTTCTTACGAGTGCTTTCAGCATAAGAATCACACCTGCCTTGTGTTTGAGATGCTGGAGCAGAACTTATATGATTTCCTAAAGCAGAACAAGTTCAGTCCACTGCCACTCAAGTACATCAGGCCCATCCTGCAGCAGGTGGCCACCGCCCTGATGAAGCTCAAGAGCCTGGGTCTGATTCACGCCGACCTGAAGCCAGAAAACATAATGCTGGTCGATCCAGTGCGCCAGCCCTACCGAGTGAAGGTCATTGACTTTGGTTCTGCTAGTCACGTGTCCAAGGCCGTGTGCTCAACCTACCTACAGTCACGCTACTACAGGCAAGTGGCCAACGCTGATCTGTCTTTATAGTTAATATATATTACATAAGGCTACATAGAACAAGGAATGTATGTACAGATTCCAAAGAAACAGGATCATGTTTTAGTTTGTGTGGTATTCCTATAAGCAACATTATTGTGTCTCTGACATCTTTTTTAACACTAGAAAAATTAACTGATTCCAAAGCTTGTTCCTAGTTGAATTATATAGTTGGCCCTTGAACAACATGGCGGTTAGGGGGAACCTGCATATACCTTTCGACTCCCCCAAAACTTAAGTTGTTCTCCAGTATCTGTAAGGGATTACTTCCGGGACCTTGCAGATATCAAAATTCACAGATGCCCCTGAATAATATCCCACTGTATGTACATACCATACTTTGTTTATCCACTCATTTGGTGGTGGACACTTGTTTATTTTTACATTTTTGGCTATTATGAATAATGCTATGATGAACATTGGTATTCAGTTGCTTAAGTGTCTGTTTTCAGTTCTTTTGGGTATAGAGCTAGAAGTAGAATGCCTGGGTCATATGGTAGTTCTATATGGAACTCTCTGAGAAGCCACCAAACCGTGTTCCACAGCTGCTGCACTATTTTGCATTCCCACCAGAAGTGCGTGAGGATTCTAATTTCTCCACATCCTCACCAACAGTTGTTATTTTCTGTGGTTTTTGTTTGTTTGTTTTTGATAACAGTCATCCTTGTATGCATGAAATGATACCTCATTGTGGTTTTGATTTGCATTTCCCAAATGATCAGTGATGTTGAACATCTTTTCATGTACTTGTTGGCCATCTGTAGGTCTTCTTTGGAGAAATGTCTGTTCAAGTCCTTTGTTCATTTTTTAATTTGGGGTGCTTTTTGTTGAGTTGTAAGAGTTCTTTATATATTCTGGGTATTAATCCCTTATCAGATAATATGATTTGCAGGGTTGTTTTTTTTATCTCCCATCCAGGGGGTTGATTTTTCAATGTTTTTTTGCACAAAATTTTAAAACTGTGATGAAGTCCAATTTGTCTGTTTTTTCTTTTGTTGCTTGTACTTTTGGTATCACATCCAAGAAATCATTGCCAAACCAATGTTATGAAGCTTTTCTCCTGTGTTTTATTATAAGAGTTTTATAGTTGTAGTTCTTATATTTAGATCTTTGATCCATTTTGAGTTAATTTTTGTATGTGGTGTAAAGTAAGGGTCTGGTTTCATTCTTTTGCATGTGGATATTCAATTTTCCCAGCACCATTTGCTGAAGAGACTATTCTTTCTCCATTGAATGGTCTTGACACTCTTTTTTTTTTTGTCTTTTTTTTAATTGTTTTATTGCTTAAAGTATTACAAAGAGTATTACATATGTCTCCTTTTTCCCCCCGCCCTTGACAATCCCCTGGACTCCCCTACCCCCCAGTGTCTTATGTCCATTGGTTATGACCTTGGTCTTGACACTCTTGTCAGAATCCTTCAACTGTATGTGTGAGAGTTTATTTCTGGGCTCTGTTCTTTTCCATTGGCCTATAAGTCTGTCTTTATGCCAGTACACCACTGTTTTGATTACTTGTAGCTTTGTAATAGGTTTTGAAATCAGGAAGTAGGAGACCTCCAGCTTTATTCTCTTTCAAGATTGTTCGGTTATCTCAAGGAATCTCTCAAGATCTTTATGAATTTTAGGATGCTTTTTTTCTTTCTGCAAAAAAACCTCATTGACTTTTGATAGGTATTGCACTGAATCTGTAAGTCACTTTGGTTAGTATTGACACTTTAACAATATTGTCTTCCAGTCCACTCTCATCTATTTTTCTTTTTATAGTTCTATAAAACTATGGTATTTCTTACTTGAGTGAGATAAAGAAATTCCTAGAGTCTTTGATTTCTAGTTTCATGTTGTCTAGGCAACTTGACTAATTTTGAGAATCTCACCTCCATTTATTTATTCATGACTTGGGAGAGTTAGGTTCCAATTATTTTTGCTTCTGATATTCTCCTTTGAGCAATCCTTCTACCACCCACACGTACACATGTGTGCAGCACATTCACAGGTGCCCTGGAGAGTTCAGTTCTCTGTCATATTTTGAGCACTGGGGAAGTAAGAAGGAGAGCACAGCTGAGGGGTGAGGGCTTTCTTGATCTTTCATCTTGTCAGTGCCTGCAGGTGTTTAACTGTTTATCTGCCCTGTCAAAGACAAGGACGAGGTCTGAAGCCCTTTTAAGATTGAAAAAGAGCAGTTGAGATAAAAATTATTCATGAGATAATTGTGTAGTTTTCTTTTTTGCTTTTAAATATATTGTTATTGATTTCAGAAAGGAAGGGAGAAGGAGAGAGAGAGAGAAACATCAATGATGAGACTCATTGATCGGCTGCCTCCTGCACGGCCCCCTACTGGGGATCGAGCCTAACCCGGCCATGTGCCCTTGACCAGAATTGAACTCGGGACTCTTCAGTCCGCACGCCGATGCTCTATCCACTGAGCCAAACCAGCTAGGGCAATGAAATAATTTTTTATGGAATTTTCTCATAAAAGGTAAAGGAGATGTGAGGGATTAAACATTCCTGGCTATTTAGCTCTCTCTAGTATGACATTTAAATACTTTTTAGTCTTATATTGCTGGTCTTTGCCCCTTTTCTTCTCCTAATTTAAGCTGTCATTTGAGTAATTTGGTGGTTTTGTTTTTATAGAAAATATGATTTGCAGAATTTTAAATCCATTGGTAATTACTCTTCAACAAAGTCCTGTAAATCCGTGGCATTTAGTTATTGACTATGTGAGTAATTTTAAATGGAGCTAAGTTTATCTCTTAAAAACAGTTCACTCTGTATATGACTAATGCTTGTGCATTCTGAGATTCAATATCCAGGTCTTGACTGTGTTTAGGATTTAACGTGAACGTTCTGTTGTGTCACAGAAATACTTGATACTGAGCCTGAGCACAGGGAATAGCCACTCAGGCATTCCTTCTCCGTCATGTGTTTTACCCACAGTGACTTCATGTTGCTTTGTGGCCTTATTAGAGTCCATTAGGTCCTCACCCCCTTTTCAGAAAACCTCCGTGAACTTTGGCCAGTGAAGCATTCTGCCTCCCAGGCTGCCTTCCTCAGGCCCTCCTTTTTAGTTTGCATTGCTTCATCTTGCTGATAGCATGCCAAACTATTATCAGTTGACATACATTTTTGCCACCATGTTGTCTGTTGGCCACGGCATGGCTCAATAACTCAGGCAGTGGAAATAATATACCTTATTTCCTGCCCACTGTGAATGTAGGCTAATCGCAAGAACAGTTGCTGTCTTTGGCGGTTGAGTTTTATGCACAAAGGTTTCCATGCTTATAAGCTCAATGCTTTCACATTCTGAACCAACCAGCCGGCCTTCATTGAAAACCGAGATCACTTTATTTGTTCTGTATGGAAGGACAAGGTCTACAGAAGGAAAGCGTATTTTCACTTTGTCCTAGACCAGCCGTGGGCAAACTATGGCCCATGGGCTGGATCCGGCCCGTTTGAAATGAATAAAACTAAAAAAAAAAAAAACGACCGTACCCTTTTATGTAATGATGTTTACTTTGAATTTATATTAGTTCACACAAACACTC